AAACTCCTTTCTTCAAAATTTCTGCACAGTCTTCACGAATGTGGCAGGGTGGGAATGAGCATCCTCCCCCCTCCTGTGGGAAAACCACAGAGCAACCAGCTCTTGAAAGAAAGCAAGGCAGCAAAGTTTCTGGGAGAGAAAATTAAGGGCAGAGGCTGCATTTCTGTGGCTTTATGTGGCACAACAAGGGAACGCTGGCAACTAGTCAAGATCCATGAGCAGAGTAATTAATTAAAGCTTTGCTTTCTTGTGACGAAAAAAAACAGAGTAGGAAAAAGTGGGACTTATAGCCATGTCATGGCAAACCATGTAAAAAACCACCTGCTCCTAATCACAATCCAGTTCGAAAAAAAAATCAGTCCATGCAATAGCACATGTGAACAGCAAAAAGATGGCTGTTAATTCACTGAAGTAGGAGGACCTATAAAATTGGTATTAAGGATTGCATTCTTAAACTGTATCATTTTGGGAGGCCCTGTCACTGAGTGCGTTACACCTAAGGAGCAGGAGTGCTCTGGTGGCACTGCTAACCTAACAAGAAGTGTTGTCTTGGCAGGAGTTGGGTCATACTTAGCAGATTATCTCCGTACCAGGAGGGCTAAAATTTTCATCAAAGTAAATAGGGGAATTTGTGACAGCCAGCCAGCTTACCGTGTAGTGCTCAAGGGCTTGTTCATAGCAGATGCTCGTCTCCGTCTTGAGTGCAGCTCTGAGCGGTTGCCCCGTGGGCTGTGGCCGCTTCCTTGCGGGTGGCTCCGACGTGGCAAAATGACACGGCAGAGCCATTTGGGTCATCAAGCCGTATTCTGCTGTCCAGCTTTGTGATGGAAGGGAGGGTGATAAAGCCCAGTGGTGGGCTGGAAGCCCAGCACAGGCACTGTCAGGAGCTAATCATGAAACACAGGGCACAGAGGGTGTGAGGGCAGGCAGGTCTTGTTGGCAGAGATGGCTGGAGGAAGGCTTGCTCTCTACTGTGCTGTGAAGCAGACGTCACCGCGTTCACCCCACGCTCTTCGGGGATGCTTGCTGCAAAGCACCCGGCGGACTCCGGGGATGGGGGCACGTCTCAGGCTCACCAGGCACCGCTGCGGGGTGCGGAGGGCACAGTGCCAGGGCCCACAGGGTCCCCCGCCGGGTGCCGTGGGGGTGTCACTTGCCTGGGCTGGCAGCTCCTTGCGCTGACACTCGGGTGCACGAAGACCACGAGATGGCACTAGCAACTTTTGCAGGCTAGTGGATTCCCAGCAATGTACACACAAAAAAATAGCATCCTGCATTGCTGTGATCCCATCGCAAAATACAGGTACTCCACAGTCATGGAGACGTGAACGGGGTATTTCTCTTACTGACTGGTCAGCTTTGGCTAAATCCGTCTCCATTGCCATTTCATTATGTACTAATGGTCCGTAGTTTTTGTTTACGATGTGCAGATTAGATTAATCGCCTCCACCTACCAGACTATTTTGCATTTTATGCCTCATATATTCAGGAGAAAAGTGATTAAAAAGGACAACTGATTCTGAAGTGAACCATGCTTAATGCAAAAGGCTGAGTCAAAGCAGAGACAGGGTGCGCCTGTTCAGTTGTGAAGCTCTCTAAGACTCCAGATGCCTTTTCTGTGGCCAAATTGAAGCAACACTGTCTATCTGTAAATTGCTAAATAAAAGCAGGCTGAATATTGATCTCCAGGTCCAAGGCCAGCCCAGCACTGTTTGCCTTGTGTCCACACCCTTCAGAGCTGTCCCATCGGTCACAGACATCCCACACAGCAGCTGGCCTGGCTTCCCTCCTGGACTGCTGCGGGATCCTTACAGCTCTAGGACACAATTATCCCATTTTGCAGGGGAGGTTGTTATCCAAAATAAAGTGAGGACGGCGTTGCAGCCCAGCTGAGGGGTGTTTTTACAGCATGACTCTGAAGGGCTGAGTTTTCATGCCCTGTGGGATGCCCAAGGGCATGTGGGAGGACAGGAAGATGCAAAGTCTGGTGGGACACTGTTGGAGACAGAGAGGCCCAGGCTTCATGTAGCCTATTCCATAGTGGGAACAGTCCTTGGGGTGAAGGGCACTGGGTAGTGTCTTGGAGAAAGTTGCTTGAAGAGGTCCAAACCAGAGCCCACAAGCAACCAAATGATCCAGTGTCCAAACCTTCTCCCTGTCCCTCTTCCATTTACCACTATCGACGTTTTCCCATCACAGGATTTACAATGCCTTGCAGGGCTTTCCACATCAAGCACTTGGATTCCTCCCCCACATGCACACGTGCAGGACATTCCCTCCCAATTATCTCACAACCCGTTAGTCCCTGGGCTCAGGACGACAGGATGCTCCCCAGGTACTGAAGTAACATTGCCCAGCACTCTGCGCTGACTTCTCCTGGAACAGGAAGCACTCAGTGAAATTATCTGGGTGAAGGCTGCAAATAAACGTGACTCTCTTCTCATGTAGGGCATGAATTCAGTGCCATTCATTGCCATGAGATGCTGTGGGAACCCGAGGAATGAAAAGAAATTCAACAGAAAATTTGACAAATTGACGGAGGATAAATCCATTGGTAGCACAATGTACCAGTTGGTCACACAGTGATCTGAACACAGGTTTTGGCTCAGGAAGTCTGGATTCTGTGTAAATTTAGCAATTTACACTACGCTGAGTCCTGGAAGCTGGGAAAGGATGCCACAGGGAGGATTGCTCTGTACTCAAATGACATTTAGGCTCAGATGAGAGAGAATTCATTATCTGAACAGAAATAATTTTAAGTTAGTTCGGGGAAGAGTCAACATGGTTTTATAAAGGGAAATCACACCTCATAAATCTATTAGAGGCTTCAGAAGGCATCAACAAATAGGTGTACAGCTAAGAATGGTTTTCCGAAGTCCTTCATCAAAGCCTCTTAAAGAAACCATGCTGTGATGCCTTAAGAGGTAAGGTTATGTGAATAAAGGACTGATTAAAAGGCAGGAAACAGAAGGTAGAAATAAATAGCCAGTTCTGACAGTGGAAGGAGGTTGGCAGTGGAGTCATGCAGGGATTTGTACTCAGGCTTACATTGTTCAGCATGACTTAAACCTGGAAAAAGGGGGGCTTCGTGAGATGGGAGTTTGTTGAGGTTATTAAGCATCCAAGACAGTAAAGATGACGGACAACTGGGGAAGTTGCAGAAGAGTCTCACAATAAACAGCAACTGGGCAATAAAAAGGCAGATGAAATTCAATGTAGCTAATTCTAAAATTAATTACATAAAAAAAAATGAATCTAATTTTACGTACATGATAGTAGGCTCTGAACTGACTTTTACTGCTTGGGTACTGGACCTTGGGGCTATATAAAGAACTATGAAAAGGGTAGCTCAGTGCTCAGCCACAGTCAAAGCAGCAAGTCACATTACTAGGAAAGGAACAGAAAATAAAATGGAAAACACCTTCAAGCCATTCTGTAAATCCACAGTGCATCTACATCTCCACAACTATGTGTGGTTATGGACCCCCTAGCTCAAAAAGCACATAGGAGAATAGGAAAAAAATACAGAAGGGTAAAAAGAATGAACAAAAGCATGGAATGGTTTTCCTATGAAAAAGAGTAACTAACTAGATTATGACTTATCAGATTGAAAGGAGAAAACAGAACAGACGGAGAAAATCCATAAAACCATGAGTGGTCTGAAAATGGTGAACAAGAAATGGTTATTGACTGTCTCTCCCTAGAGCAAATGTAGGGGGTATCAAATGGAGTTAGCAGGTGGCAGGTTTGGCAGATAACCAACATGTAGTAGTTCCACATGTAGCAGTGGAACTCCCTGCCACAGGATGCTGCAGATGATCAATGGGCTCAGAAAGCAATTGGACAAATTCAAGAGAGGAAAACCATTTCTAAAAGTGCCATCTATGGCACCTCAGGCCTTCCTGAGCCACACAATCATTCATATAGCCTTTGGATATGTTCTTATGAAGGCAGCTCAGGTGTCCAAGCTAGGCCACTGCAGTGCTTGCTATCTAGGCATGAAACTGCAAACCTCAAAAAGCTTCTGTACAGGATCACAAGAGCTCATATCCTTGCTGATACCAGCCACTGAAAACACCAATGTCTTCCAATATTCTGATTTCTTCAATAGTTAACACATCCATGGTTTTGCTCTGCTTCCAAAGCCCTTTGTGAGATGGGACTATCTTACCAAGACCAGGATAGCTCCATTCTGCTGTGCAGATGGGATGGCCAGTGCCAATGCTCAGGCTGCTGAATCTGAAAATCACTCCTGAAAGACCTCAGCACTCTCAGGATGTAAAAACAGATTATTAGAGATGTGATGGGACAGTTGCGTAACTAGAGCTGCTGTGGCTGGATACAGGTTCTTTAGGAAAGGATGGCAGATGGTGATCGGGTTTGTGCTCTAGGCAACTGAGTGGCATGAATGCATGCACATTTGTGAGGGAACAGAGGATGAGAAAGTCAAGAGCTCGTGGGTCAGGAGAAGATAACAAAAGGGATATTATTGTGGGCAACCCACTCAATCAAGAAGAGAACACAAACAAAGCCTTCTTTGAACAACTGGAAACTGGTTCAGAACAGCCTAGAACAGTTCCTGTCTTCTGTAACTGGAAAAACCTGCCAATTGGAAAAACCTCTGTCTTCACTCACAAAATCTTCACTCACAAGGTCTGCTGTCAGGCCTGCCACATGTCTGTATCTAGTAGCAAAGTCTGGAGAAGAAAATTACTGATCACACTAGAAGACTGAGTCAGGGATGCAATAAGCTGGACATACACAAGTCCTTGGGGCTGGATGGGCTACATCTGACAGTGCTAAAGGAACTGGCCAATGTCATTGTGAAACTGCTCTCTATCAGTTTTGAAAGGCTGTGGTCATTGGTGAAGTTCCAGATGGCTGGAAGAAAGAAAATGTCATAACCCACTTCAAGAAGGGCAAGCAGGATGATCTGGGGAGCTACAGGCCCATCAGTCTAACCTCAGTCACCTGGAAGATTATCAAGAAATCCTCAAAGCCATTTCCATGCTCAAGATGGACAAGAAGATGATTTGGAAAAGCCAGCATGTATTTGCCAACAGTAAATCATGCCTGACTAACCTGACTGCCGCCTTTGATGAGACGACTTCCTTGGTGGATTGGGAAAGAACAGTGAATGTAATTTTCCTTGACTTTAGCAAGGCTTTCAACAGTCTCCCACAGTATCCTTGTAGCCAAATCAAGGAAGCATGGACTAGATGGCTGGACTACAAAGTGGGTGAATAACTGACTGGATTGTCAGGCTCAAAGGGTACTGGACAACAGTTTAAAGTCTAACTGGTAGCCAGCTGCAAGTGGCATTCTTCTGAGGTCAACACTGAGTCCAGTGCTGTTCAACATTTTGGTCTATGCCTTGCATAAGGGGATGAAATGCACCCTCAGCAAGTTTGCACATGATCCCCAACTGGGGGGAGTGACTGATACACTGAAGGGCAGGGCTGTCATTCACAGAGACCTTCACTACCTGGAGGAAGGTGCCAACGAGAGCCTCACAAAGTTCAATAAAGACACATGCAAGTCCTGCACCTGGCATAGACTAACCTGGTATGACAGCACAAGCTAAGCACCTACTGGCTAGGGAGCAGCTCTGCAGAAAAGGATCTTGGGGTCCTAGTGAACAGCAAGTTGAACATGATTAAGCAGTGCACCCTTGCAGTGATAAGGACAGCAGCATACTGGGTGGGATAAGCAAGGGAGTTGCCATCAGGTTGACAGAAATTATTCTTCCTGCCTACTGAGCACTCCTCAAACCACATCCAGAGAGCTGCGTAGAGTTTTGGGCTCCCCAGTACGAGAGAGAGATTGACAAACTGGAAGGAGTTCAGATGGTCAGGGAGCTACAGCATATGATATGCAAGAAGAGGCTGAAGGAGCAACTGCAGTCTTTCAGCACCTAAAGGGGGATTATAGAGAAGACAGAGCCAGAGTTTCTCAGAGGTGCACAGCAAAACAAGAGGGAAAGATCACAAGTTTGAACATGGGGAATTCTGACTGCAGATTAGGAAGTAATTCTTCACCATGACATGGCCCCGAGACACTGTGAAATTGCCACCTTTGGATTTTTTCAAACCTGACCAGACAATGTCTTGAACAACCTGATTTAACTTCAAAGCTTTGAGGCTTGAGCAACTTTGTGCCTGCTTTCAGCAGACACTTTGGACTAGACGACCTCCAGAGGCCTCTTCCAACTCCTGATGTTTCTACAACTCTGTAACTGCCATATAAATATATATAAAACCCACAATGTTAAACCATAAAACCATAAAAACTAACCAAAGCCAAACCTACATAGCTTTGCATATACAATATAACATTGACATGCAGACACATCCCATGAGGGCAATAAAGAAATGTATAATAGATAACACCACACACTGATGGAAATAAGAGGGAAGTACTATTATGAAGACCAATGTACATGAAACAAACCAAGATGGGATTTAAGCATGCAAGATTACCAGTATGTGTCACAGCTCCTATTTTATCATTCAGCTTTACTGGAGCAAATGATTTACAACACCACAGTGAGAATCAAAAGATCCGGTCTGCAGAGGCAAAACTGAGCCCAATATAAAAATATTTTTGCTATGTTTATTTTATAATTATCACACTGACATGCACTGCCAAGAGCTGGAGAGCTTGTGTCACCGCAATCATTTTGAAGCCTAGTTAAAACAGTCAGTGAGTCTGCAATACTTCATAAATGAACACGCAGAAGGTTAAGCACAACTGACTTTTCATCTCTATTTTATTTCACAGAAGCTACGCATTCTGAGGTGAGAAGGAAAGAAAGTTCAGGGAAAACCTGCAGTTATCGAAAGACATTGTTCATAATTTAACCAAAACAATAAGTAAATGCCATGAAACTTGTGCATATTCAACTCTTAAATAACGGGAAGAGAATTAATGAAGCCTGCCTTCAGTGAAACACTCTTCAAAATCTTGTCTTTCTTTATTATAGAGAAAATGTTTTCTGTACACTATCATCTCTGTTTTTCCTGACAGTAGGACACTCAGTTATTCCAAAATTTGGTTACAAGCACCATGAATGTAAACAATTAAAACTTCCATTTCTAGTTAAGTATCCATAAACAGAACAGAAATACTTGGAGACAGAACCAGTGGAGACAGCGTAAAGTCAGAGTCCATGGAAGCTCATTTGGCTTTCTTCCCATTAGGATTAACGTGGTAAAATCTGGAGCTGAGATGTTTGCGGAGCTGTTGCTTAATGCCGCACATGAGCCTCACGATTGACACTTGAGCTATCCTGTGCTTGTTTGTAGGCCTCCAGAACCAGTGCTTCCTGCTGCGTCTGGAGACGGTCCCCAGATGTGCTGAACTCCTTCTTGCAGAGGCACACCCTAGGCAGAGAGACGTTTCAAAGCCTCCTCTTCATTAAAAGCCCCAATCAGCTTTTGTCGTGGATGTTGGCATGATTCCAGGATCAGACAAACACATCAGCTCGAACCAGTTTTTGATTTCATGTTCAGATCAAATGTTGTCTATATTATTAAAATATTGCAAAAAGGATTTTTTTTTTCCTATTCCAAATAATGAATACTAAAATTTTTAACAGATTTGAACCAAATTTATCCTGTTGGTTCTCATATCTGGAAGTGGCAAGTGTTGATAAAATGGCTGTCCCATAAATATACAATGCTATTTCATCATTTATTTTTGTACTACCACGAACATGACAGAAAATAACGAATCATAAGTTTAAACCTGTGGAGCCTGACTGTCCTAGGCACTGCTGCTCGTATGGTGAATTGCGAGCTGATGGAAAAAACTGCTGGTCTGACCTCACAGTGTTTTACAAGTGTTTTGACAGGGTACAAACAATAACATAGACCACAACTTTGGATAATCAGGTCCGCTGTGTTCAGAGGGGGTTTGATTTAAAGGCCACGGAAGTCTGAGGAAAGACTGCGTGGACTCTGAACGAGTACAGAGCAGGTAAACACATGCACACCATGACAAATCCTTCACTGGTGCTATTTCTGGATTTTCAGACATTTCTTAAGAGAACAGTTTACCCAAAACCTCAGTAAGCCTAAACAGTTTGGAGGGCAGGAGAAGGCTGATAAGCTCCTGTGCTCTTACAGCTTGAATAGATTTTCCTATTTATACACTGTGTTTAGCACAAAAGACAAGGTCTACCTCTGGTACATGCTATGATAGCATCTCACAAAGAGGAGACCTGGACTTCAGCCTGATAAAAAGCCTTGAGGAATAGCATCCTGACTCTTGACTGTCCCTCTAGCCTCTTCTGGATTGGGGGTGCAGGTTTAATGGAATCCCCCCTCCTCCCCCATAAACCTGTACTCAATTTCTCCCACGCTTTCTTCCAGAATTGTTTGTACAAACTGTGCATTTACTTAAATGGGCCAGGGGAGCTGTTCCACTTTTTGTAAATATTATTTAGATGAGGAATAGCATCCTGACTCTTGACTGTCCCTCTAGCCTCTTCTGGATTGGGGGTGCAGGTTTAATGGAATCCCCCCTCCTCCCCCATAAACCTGTACTCAATTTCTCCCACGCTTTCTTCCAGAATTGTTTGTACAAACTGTGCATTTACTTAAATGGGCCAGGGGAGCTGTTCCACTTTTTGTAAATATTATTTAGAGTATGCGTGTGCTTTTTGTTTGTTTGTTTGTTTTTTTTTTCAAAGCAGCAATTCTTCTGAGTAAAACTACCTGGTAATATAGCAAACATTTTTCTCCACAAATGTGTTTTTATGCCATCCACCACAATGCCACCATGGTAGGTCTTCAGCGTCTGTACCTGTATATAGGTTACATACAGCATTATACATACACCTTTTAACATGGTCATTTTCTCACTGGCTATACCACAGCTGCAATCAGTGCCAATTCTCTGCCAAAAATGTAACTTTTCAGAACATGCATGATACAATCTGTATATACAAGTTAAATCCTGGTGAAGGTACTTAGCTGTCATATTAACAGCTTTTTACTTTTTTTTTTTTTTAAATACCAAACAAATTGAGGCAAAACAGGTTATCAAGCATGCGTATTTTAAAAACATCACTTGAAAAGCCAGTAAAATTTGACTTGTTCTCCCTTTGGAGAGAGGTATTTGAGCAGAAATGTGTTTTACTCAGAAAGAAGTATGCTTGCACTGGAAATATGAAGAATAAGTTTCTGTATTAATTATTTTTATCAGAAAAAAACAACCCCTTAAAAAATAGGGAGCTGCCATATATTTGGGAACTAGTGGTGTAGCAATATATAAAAACGCTGAGTTATCTTCCTTGTTTTGTATTCCAAAAAGGTAAGCTCTGTATTGCCTGAGTTAGAAGTAGCAAACATGGTTTTCTTGGGTTTATCACTGTCTACCCAAGTGGGTCAGACAACAGCCCAAATGGCTCCCTTCCAACTGGAAAGGATGGGTTTTTTGAGGGGATGGGTTGAAAATGTTCTGTAAGGTTTCCCTTTTGGCACTTTCCACATCCTGGACTGCCAAAGTAACCGATACAGTGGAGCTTCCTCGTCCCTGGGGAAGGAGTGAAGCTTCTCCCCACCTCAGCACTTCCAGCTGAAAGAAGACCCTTTTTCTCCTCCCATCTTTCCTGAGTTAAGGAAATTTCTCAGAAAAGTTAAAGCAGTTTGGCGTCACAAATTACTCTTCAGTTTCTGCTAAAGGAAACGGGATTATTATGTGCCTCTTCTGGCATTTCCTTCACCACCAGTCCAAGGGTCAGTCATAGAAATCATCCACCTTGCACTGCTGTGGATAAGCCTCTGATCATCCCCTCCGGCACAAATGTACAGGATGCAAGCTCAGACTGCTTTACTGTACATGCTTTGGGGACACCCATCTCTGAGGGATCCAAATGCTTCCTTCAAATATTTAGCATGCTCTGCTGCATCACTTTCTCCTTAGTGAGGAACCTTCTGCAAGTTCAAGGTGGGCCCACTGTTGTCATTCACAAGTAGAACACTTTTGCCCTGGAAGGTGTAAGATAGAGAAACCTCAGATGTAAAATTCTTCTTCGTTAGCTGGTGAAGCTGGGCAAACACTACCATGATCATCCAGAGAACAAGAAGCTGTTCTTGAGGACTGTTTGGGCTGCTTGGAGACAGATGCTGATGTGAATAAACTGGAAGACCATTCAGAGAGAGAAGGCAATGAACTGTCAACCGACTCAAAGGTATTGCACGTGGCTGATACAGGCCTTCCACTAGTGGCTGCCTGTTTAGTCTTACCGACAGTTTGCTTCTGTGGGGGAAGAGAGGCTTCCAAGTCATTGCAAAATCCATTAAGGGCAGAGTATGCAGAGACCACAGACAGGTCTGAGAAGGACAGCTTCATCCCTGTGTCTACATCAGTCTCCTGGGCACCCTCTAAGTCATCAATGTTAAGCCTGGGGCTGCATCTCCATGTTTTTAACCTGGTTGCAGGTGACCCAGTATTTAAAAACTGAAATGGTTCACTGAAATGAAAAGTCTCTGAGGCTGAGGAGGAGCTCACTGTCGGCAAGCAGAACAGAGACTTGCTTCGTTGAAATGACCATGCAACGCTGGAGGCACTGCTGGATCTGCGTGTGAAGTCGCCTTGATCACTGTGTCTCAAGTCCTGCTGGGAGAAACCAAGATGGTGACCAAGGCCCTTTGTGTGATGTACCTTGTTTTGACCCATTTCTTTTGGTTGTTCAGGGACAGCTTGGTGGCTCTGAGGAAGAAAGCCTGGCAGAGTGGTGAAGCGGGAATCTGTTGACACAGATGGATATGATTGCTTGTTCTGCTTTGCAGACTTCCTACACCAACTGCGTGCTTGCTGCAGCCGGGAGAGGGAGAAAAGAAGATCACATTAATACAGAATTGGCAGTCTTACAACCGTAAGTCTCCGTTGCTGAGTTGTTACTGCAAATAATTACGAAGCAGACTTCATTCAGTATGCTTGCAGCAAATGTTTCACTTCAATAACAAAGAGAAAGCACCCTGCCAAAATCCCAAATATTTACATAAGAAGCCTTGAAGACAACAAGAATAAATGGTAGAGGAGCCCTGCCTTGTGGGCTGAATTACGCTAGTTTGAAATTCTCACTTACTATTGACTTGTTCAGATTCATTCGTATTCTGTCTTCCAACATTACTGCCTTAGTGGACAGCTAAAGAACAAAAATGAAGAAATGGGACATGTATGTTACCATCATTATTATTTCTCATTTCTTCCTTACTGGGGTGCAAATGTTTTTATTTTTTCCTCTGAAACATCAAAAAGCCTTTAGCAAGCAACCTCATTCTCTGTTGTCTCAATGGGAATTTACTACTTCTTTCAACTCTTTCACATTTTCTTTTTCACATCTGGCTAGTTGAACAGTGCGTCCTAGAACCCAACTTGGTCTATTATCTAGCTCCTAATGACTTTAAGGGCAGCTTTGGACACCTAATTGCTTGTAGACACCTAGACTGAAGACCTAACCTGACGGTTATGATCTGAATCTGGACCTGAATCTCATCCCTAGGGCAGGATTCATTTGTCTACCTGCCAGATACTTGAGCATTTGCACAAGGATAGCAGTGAGGAGCCCATGTCCTTCTCAAGAGGCTGCTGGAGGCCAAGTGGCCTTCCTATGGGATTAGACACTGATGGATGGGTGACTGAACTGAGTCCCTAGTGTCTGAGCAATCATAAGGTTTTTCATCACCCCGCTTATCTCAGTAAGGGTTTTAGAAGTTTGAATTTTTAAAAGTTTAATTTTAATTCGTCTTACTGGAATTTCTCACATAATACAAAATGCTAGATTTCTGTCCCAAAAGGGACAGTGGGAGAAACTGCAAGACCATACACTTGAATATAAACATTGATCTCAGCTATGGGACTTGTCAGTTGGAAACAACAGAGGAGAAATACTAGGTATCTTGGTCACTATGTGCTATTAAAGTGACAAGGCTGTGACAAACATGATTCTGGGCAGTTTCAAATGAGTTAAAAAAGTATTAATGCACTGTGTACAACACTGCCATGGCCTCATCCAGGATGCTGCACATGACTCAAATCATGCCTATGTGAAAAAGAATAAATTCAAACCAAAAAAGATGCAGCCACACGAAAAAAAAAAGGATGAACTATCAATTAAAAAGCCTGAACCACAAACTAATAAAAGGTTTCTAATCACCGCAGAAGTAGAAGAGTCTGCTGGGGTGAGTAATGGATAAAGATGGAGCTTGATCATTTTACTAAAGAGATTATATGACATGACAGAAAGGGATGAGACCTGGCAACCAAGGAGGTCCTTTGTATCCGCTGTCTCTAAAAGAACGCCATACATTGCTGCTTCTAACATCTTGCTAGGGCACATCACGTTGCCTTAGTGACCCAGATCTGTCATAACCATCTTCTGTTTTTTATTGCAGTGATTTTAGAGGCAAAAAAGGATTTTCACATCTGCAAAAAATGTTTTGCTCATTTGTGATCGTCCAGCTAGAGGTGATTTATAGGACAGCCAAACCATAGGAGTTCACTTAGGCATTGCAGATGAGTATCTATATATACACCAATGTATATGTAATGAGGTATGTTAATTCATAATCTATTTGTGTATAATATAATAAGCTGTTTTCCTTAATGTCATAAAGAATTAAATGACTTAATGGGTAAATTAACCACAGTAGTGTAGCAGTTTCATCAACTGATAAAAAATTGAGTACGAAAGAGTCAAATAAGTCAAATCGTCAATGGAACATTATCCAGAAATCACTTTAGGCCTCTACATGCAACATTATTTTATTTATGCAATAGGTGATCTAATTTGTTTAAAAAATTACTCAGCAAGATAAAAGGCTTGTGTCCATGAAGAAAATACCAGCTGTTTCTTAACTGAAGACATTTCTGGATAACCCAGCAATAACAATACGACATGCTGAAAGTACACAACCAAACCACTGCACTCTTTTGATGAGTTTTTTCAAGAAAACACTCGTCATCGTATTGTGTTTGCATTAACCAAAGGTACTATTTTTTTTCTGTTCAGTAGCTCTGATATCAGATACACTACATGGACTCAACCTCCATGCTTGCTGAATCAACAGAAGTGCTTCCAGAACACTTCTCCTACCTCGCAGAGAGAAGATGGCGGATTGCCTGCCCATGGCTACTTTTTATGCTATATTCTTGTGTTTTCATAGACTTAGTTGATAATCTGGCAGATCAAGCATCCAAAGAAACCAAGGATCCAAGCAAGTGCAGTCTTCTTGTCTGTGAAAGGGTAAGGAGGCCCTTGGGACCACAAGCACCGGTAACAACTTGGACAAAACCGTACCTGAAAACGTAAGGCTTTTGGGGACAGATCTGACACTTGCACTGGGGAGAGTTCTGTGAGCAGTACAAAAGCCTTGCCTTTACCTTGCGCAGACCATACCATCTGTCTATATATATAAAGCAGAACCCACAGACATCACAGGTAGGATTTAGTTGTTCAGTTAATACAGCCAATGGAGCCTGGAGAGCAATTCAGTTTTCCCTAAAGGAAATTCCTGTATCTGGTTATCTGAATTGCTCTCTATGTCCTTGGGCTGTACTGAGTGCATATCCATCGACTACAGCGAGAACACAGACTGTAGCTCACACAAAAATACCAGCAGTTAGACAGCAGTTTTGGGTGTCTACAATCTGGAGCCGAACCAAATCCTGCAGAGGTAACTCCGAGGTGTTCATTTTGCTTTGGTATACAGAGGAGATATTTTGCACACTAGTAAAAGTCTCATGCATTTAGATGATGGTAATAATTTGTTATTCTTATGTGTTGACAGAACTTTTGGCGTGTTCCAAAGAAAAAGTAATTTAATTTGGTCTCTCAGATCACCACTGGTGAGAGATATTGGGTCTGATTCAGTTGTGCAATTGTAGGTACCTGCTGTATCCTGCCTGGCCTGCAAGCACACACATGGGCCACTCCATATCAGGGAATGCTCCTGGGCAGGTTTAATTTACTAATACAGGTAAAGTCTTAAGCATTTGGGGAATAAAGCACAGCCACAAAAATAGCTGTTTTGAACCCTTTCTAATATTTACAAACCCTCTAGTTTAAAATAGCTTGTGTTAGTTTTGGATTGTAGATATGCAATACAATGACTACAGGTGCAACCAAATTACCAGTACTCAAAAGGATGCTTACCCGAGGCATCGCCTATGAGAGTGTGGAGTGGAGGGCAATGCCAGGATAAATGGATGAGGTGAGATGAAACACCCCTGCTAGAAACCCTGGGGACTCTCATGTAGGAGCTTTCTAACCAAAATGCAGATAAAAAACAGAGACTCAAAGGAAAGGGGAAATGCACTTCTAAGTGGGCGCACTTGGAAGGGGCAACCTGCCCCGTGCAGCTGAACAGCTTTAAGTACCTGGCCTAACTGCAACGTACTTAGACTAACAACAAAAATCTACTTTAGGTAAGATATTAGTTTTAAGGTTTTGTTATTTTTAACTTTTTTCCTAGCTCTTTTAACATTCCTGTGGACAGATAAGAGCATTTCATTTTATACAAGGTATTTGCTGTTATATCTGCTACTGGGTCACAGCTCCTGGTCAAGCCCAGTTGGCCTGGCAGGAGGTAATGGTGGATCAGCGAGCAGAAGGGGACAAGTACAGCCTGCCCTTAGGACGGCTGCCTGCAGGGCAGGCCAAGAGACATCACTAATGCAGCTTATTTCCGAACAGCTCTGTTTATAGGAAGAATTGTTTACCTTGATCCTTTTTTGTTTAGATGTGTTATGATTCAGAAGGCCTGTTTTCCAGTGCTGGTCTTCATGATACAAGCAGAAAGGGGAAATAATAGAGGGAGATTTTTTTAATACTTTCATCCTAAAGCAACATAACTGAAAACCTTCCTGACTGTGAGAATACCGGACTGCACAACTGTACTACAGGTGGAGTGTCAGAAGCTGCATCTCATGAAATAGTAGTGAACAAAGACTACAGGCTAATCCTATATTGTAGAGAGCTGGATTATGTGGACTAATAAGACTTTTCTATATCTACATTCTGTAGCTTATCAGAGATCACAGAGAGGATTCAATGATTTAGCAAGGATTAAAACTCAGGCGACACTAGCTCCTAGTCCTGTGCCAAGGCCATTGACTGTGCTCCCTCGTACCACCCTGGCACAGCATAGGAGAGCTGCGTGCAGCCTGTGCGTTCACGTGGTCGCTCCTCTTTGTTTTACCCTTGCAGTGCCTGGCAGTCCCACAAAGTTCAAACTGGATTTCCACATGTGACTGCTCTCGGGAGAAACCATGACAAGCAAGCAGGAGATGCTGATCTTCCACTGCCCTTTCAGCCATGGGATGCTGTAAACAGCAAGACCTATTTTTGTGCCTTGAAGACAGCGTCATGCACATGCAGCTACTCTTTTCAGCAGAACAGCCTTCTCCCTCCTCCCCAGTTCTTCCCTTGGTTTTGGAAGCTGTTGCATCTGCTTTTATTTTTCTGAATTCTTTTCTTTTTTAAGTCCTTTTCTTCGGCCTTCTCAAAGCTTGCTTTCTGCATTGCCTGTTACCTGGCTGCAGCCCGGCAGAGCCCTGCCTGGTACAGCCATGCTGCCTGCGTCAGGCACAAGTGTGGCCGAGATGCTGGAGAGAGGGTCAGCCATATGAGAGGACAAAGGCTCTATCCAAACCGACACGTTGATTTTGACTGAAATTCCAAATACAGGGAGAGAGATCTGTCAGACCTTGCCATAAAGACACACAACAAACCAGCCATTGACTGAACTGACTGAGATTAGCTCTCTAACAGAACAGATTTTTTCATCTGGCGCTATCTGCTGCTCATTTAT